AACAATTAATCGGGAAACTCAATGATTGGTTTCATGTCCAGTCCTTAAATGAAGGTTGTTTTAGTTCCGCGGTAGTGTACAGGTGTTTTAATGAGCCACTCGTTACCAGCGAGAAATAAGTACACAAGAGGAACATGAAGCGAAAACAGAAAATCGTTGTCTTTGCAACTTCAGTATTTTAGGGTAGGTATCTATTATTCTTTTCTATTATTAGAAGTTGTCCTGGCGTCTTGGACAGATGGCGAGTCCGACCGGCATAGGTTCATCGGGCGTCGTTGTAGAATTTGAATGTGCGACTGTAGTCGCTTGACAAGGAGGCGGCGCATCAGGGAGACGGAAAGACAAGGGTTAAGATAGAAACCTAAGTTCGAGATACAGGAACAAAGAAAAATTTCTCCTGAGTATGTTCATACCCCCAAAAGAGGTCAATATACATACCTGAGCAACTAGACGGTCCGGTTGGAATGGCTTGTTGGAATGGAATTCAGACTGTGTGTTGGAATGGGCTCTAGTCTGGAGGTGGCAAATTTAAAAACGTATGTGCTGGAGGTGGGCAGCAGCGGTGTAGTGGTAAGTGGACACGCTTACCACGCGCGCGGTCCGGGATCAAATCCTGGGTCGTGAGTCGCCCGGGCCAACCAAGCCTTCCCCTTCGGTTAATTGGTACCAGACTTGTCTGGGAGGATAAAAACACTGACTTGTACATCGGCTGGCCCCCGCAAGTCATTGTATAGGCCACATCGCATTCAAACGCCACTACGAATGTACAAATGGAAGTAGAATGCGTGCCGCATCCCAAAAAGGGATTGATCAACGGCAAATGCTTTATCCTTTTATCCTTTATGTGCTGGAGGTCGGTACTTCCTTACCAATTGAAGGCAATGCATGAAAATGTTCAGGGACTTGTGTGTTACGTCCTCATCATGACTCGAAGATCATGACAAAGATGTCTTTGAAATTCAAGGTTTCTATGAAGATTACTGATACTCACTCTTTCAGGTCTAGCATTTTTGAGGTCAGCGAGACTTTTTCCAACCAGTTCCATAACAAGAAAGAAAAAAGTTTCCTTCTTTCCTCTGTCGATAATGGCAGTGAAGTGTGATTGATTCCGTTCATTGGACACTAACTTCAAAATGGCGATCTGCAACGATACTTATACTTAGATATGCTTTTGCTTTCATCAGATGTGATCCATTGGCACTAGTAGTGGAAGGATGAGAGCGTGGCATTTGGAAAGTTGTTCAACAATTAGTGTGCACCGTTTCACGACCTACAAATAGTAAACACACAAAGGCCGACCGCTCCGAGAAAGAGCAGGCACAATTAACAAAATCGCAGGACACTTTGCTTTTAGGTGTTGCTATCAACATATTACCTAAGAGAACGGGCCAAAAACAGACTTTAAAGAGCGTGTGAAAGGAATTCGTGAAAAATCTATCAGCTACTTCGCTCACTCACTATTTTGAAAACAACGATTTTCCCAATTTACTCTGATAGAAACTGTGGCGCCGGAAGGATCTACATGTCTTGACAAGAACGATTTCTCGTTGTGATAAATTGGTTCCACCGTAATCCGCCTTGGCTGTGGAGCCACTGTGAACGTCGGGCCGTGCAATCGACTCGGAGCGGGGAACGCTAGACTGGGCTCAACAAGAGAAGATTCTTCTGTAGTAGAAGGCCTAGACCTGCCTTGAAATGCTGATCTCAAATCTACCTTCCGAGTTTGCTGGCGGAGTCGTGAACGGTAGTGGTCGGCTCACAGTCAAGATGTCGAAGGATTCAACCTTCGTCGTTTTACTGTTTTGTTTCGTCGACTGAGCTGCTGAGTAGACTGTTGAAAGCCGTTTCAGCTGTTTTTCTTGTACAACCGTTCAAGCTTTTCAAAAAAAAAAAATGCGACGTCCTGACTGTTAGAGCACTGTAAGAATCGGTATGCAAGAATCAACTTGATATGTTCGTCAGGCTGGGGACAGGGTAGCCAGAGAGCCGAAGAAAGAGCAACAATGCTGCAGGCAGTCGAAAAACCCCCGGGATGTGTCGATGTCGTGATATCCACAGCTGATAGAGCCGCCAGTATCGTAGTTGACCGCTTCTTGATTTCCCCAATGCCATTGATCGTTATTCATCGTTATTTTTGGGATTATAGCTTTGATTTCAACTTTGCAGGTTCATTTCCAAAGGTGATGATGTTTTCTGAAAGCGCGCATTCTTCTCTACATTCTATTTTACAGCACTGATGTATGTGCTCGACTATGGAGCTTATTGTTAGACGCGAGCAAAAAGAATTGCTCATGCCAATGACCAAAGTTGTGCTCGAAACCGAATGCAGCTGCTTCTGCTCGTAGAAGCAACGAAGGCTGGGTGGAGACACATTGCTGAGAGGCCTGTTCGATAAAGTTTGTCGATTGATCTTTCGTTGTTCTTCTGTTTGGTTTTATAAATCAACCAACGTGTGGGATGAAAACGGCAGATAATTTCTGCTCACCCTACTGATAAATCTATAGCAGTTACTCGAGTGTTCTAGATGGGCACTTAGACCACTACCGGCGTTAATCTCACCGATTGTGCGGCATGCCAAACACCGGGTTTCGCTCGCGATCGCTCCGCCCTGCAGCTTAAATGTAGCTGTTGCACAGTTGACGTTCGTGTTAGTCGTGATTCCGCGGAGGAAGCGGAGAAAACGACAAGAGGGCACGTGGAAACAAGTCGGCTACTTGTGGCACTGCACATCTCACCGCTTACGGTGGAACCAGTTCAGCGTACAAACGAATCCTTTTACTTGTACGTTGCACTTCTTATTTTACTATTTACAACATTACTACACTATCGAGCAGAAAAATATATCGAGGGTTTTTTCTTCAGCTTCGACTCCAGACAGCTTAGATGGATCTTGCTCGAATCCCAATATGGAGGTAACATTAGTTCACTGGAGTAGCATACTTTGGATGAGAGGAGGACCGAAGATAGAAAAAATCGCTCCGTCAAGATTTCCAAGAGGGCACAATTCTGCAAAAATTTTAATATACTATGGAAAGCTTGTGTTGGACGGATAAATCAACTCGTCACAACTGATACTAAACATGTGAAATACTTTGAACTGGCTGAAGCTCTACAAGACCTGGGAGCGGAGTCAAAAAATACACACACTACCAATCAGGCATCTTCTTCCATTTTCCCTGGAACTGAACAAGTATTTCTTCGGAATCCTAACTAGTTTCATGTAAAACAACTTTGAACATTCTTGTAACTGTATCACCTGTATCACCTGTCGTCCCGTTGATCGTCGATTTGCTCGAGCGGGCGCCAGCAACGTCTCCATTCGTCCCTGTCGCGTGCTAGAGTGGTCCAGTGGATCCTCCTCGCTCGAGGGACACGAAGTCCTTCATTCCTTTCGTTCAGAGCTTCCGTAAAGAAGTCTGACCATCGGGCCGGTGAAAGAGTATGCATACTGCAGATA